GGGGGGGGGGGGGATCTGTTCCCAGGGGCGGCTGGACGATTGGAGCGGGGAGAAGCCAAGAAGCACAGGATACGGTTCGAAAGGAACACTAAAACATTCGAAGGCAAAAGCGCTTCCAAAGACCTCTAACATCGGTCGAATGGTTCGACGGCAAATTGCAGTGAAGAGGTGATCGGAGACCCGCAGTACCAGCGCCGAGAGGGGGAGGGGGGGGGGGGGGGGNGGGGGGGGGGGGGGGGGGGGGGGGGGGGGGGGGGGGGGGGGGGGGGGGGGGGATGGTTCGGATGCGTTGCATGAAACTTTACGCTCGGCTAAGCGGGAGGAGAGGGAAGGCTACCGTCATGTTCTACTCCAAGAATCCTTTTTCCGCACCAATCTAGCCGTGAACCAAGCCCCTCGTGCTATCCCTAAGAACAAAGGCAGACAGGTGAAATAACCCACCCTTCGCCTCCTCCGGCTTTTGCTCTGGACCGCCCGAGTGACTATCTCGACATGATTCGCCGTCTTCTTTTCATCACGGCTTGGAGGCAGCTGCTCACGAAACCTAGGACACACGAACAAAGGAAACAACAACGAACGACACGAATTAACGAATCAAGCGTGGAAACGAAAGCAGACGGCTGTCAATAGTTTGTCCTGTCGTTGCCCTGTACCCCAGCGATGAGGCCAAACGACGGAGCAGTAGCAGGTGAAACAATACCAACAAACACAACAAGGCAACAACAGCTATAATACTCCTGTGACATGTGACAACAGCTATAATACCATGACCGAAACTAGAGGAGCAGAGGCATGTGTCGGATACCTTCTGGGTCCGTTATCATTGCCGCCCCCCATGCTGTCGGACTCCCACACTTCCACCGTGAGAGGACCATGGCACGCGATGCCTGACATCCACGGCGGCACCACCTTTACATCCATTTATCCACGGATAGAACAGGCACATAATCGGTTAGGATGCGAGGCGCAAGATACTAAATCCTCTGGTCAGGCCGCAAAGCTGAACGTACATCAGCACATTGCCAATCGACCGGGCTTCCGGTAGTACCGGCCGGACACTGAACATGCCTACACTGCTTACCACTGCGCGTCAACGCAACCTCCAGCTGTCGAAACAGAAAACGACGCGATGTACCACAGGATGACAAGCAAATGATAATAATATAGACGCCAAATTCGCGTGATCCGACACAGAAGCTATCCCCGTATCCGAAGTGGTGGCACATGGCCTGGACGTGCAGCGCCCAATCTACACTGTATCACAGACCAACAAGGGGGGGCGTGTTGATGAATCCATGGTGGAATCCAGGCCGACAGGAAACATGGTACGCTTTTGCATGACAGGGAGATGCGAAAACTGTGTCAGTAGGTGCTGCTGCTGGGTTGTGCGGGGAGGGGGAACGTGCGGCTGTTGTCTCTAAGGTGGCAACGCGTAGGTCCAACGCCGACGTATTGAATCATGTAGATGATGAACGTCTTCCTGTGCCACACAGTCCGCAAGGCAACTGCCGTACTGATGCAGATGACACTGAACGAACTAAGCGTTATGGTTTCTTCACAAAGAAAACGGTCGAGCCCTTCGAGCGGTAGCAGCAACGACAATGGCTGCAGCGAACAGATATCGGCAACACAAAAGGACGAAAATAAGGTGGGCACCATGGAACATGCAAGTGAACTGCTGTTGCCACGAGTGCTAAATTTGCTCGCCTGTTCTACAACCAGGTTGATGACGTTCGCCTTCTTCTTGTAGTGGTATCCCACCCTAAAGATTGGTGTCAGCAGGAGCAACACCAGCAGTACCAGCAGCCCCGTGCAGAAAACAATACATGGTGAACACATGGTGAACAGCAAAGGGTGGCACAGCCGGAAGCAGCATCGTCGACGTGAGCACCATCAGCAACAGCGAGGGTAGAACTCTGTACATGTTCATTTTACAGCGAGATGGCCTCTCACGTCCAAGGGTCGCGGTATCAACTCCTGGGTTCTCACATGTGTACTAACGCACGGATGGCGAGCTAAAGTTGGCCCCGCTAAATGATATCCGAAGAGAAAATAGTCTGGTACACAAATACCATGTATCGTTCAATGATACCCGGCGACGGTGCACCCCGCGCTTTTGCGACGACCACAGCAGTGCAGTGCAGTGTAGTGCTGCTGGCGTGTCGAACGACGTCACAGCGGCAATCCCAACAGCAACAACAGCAACAACAGCAACAACAGCACCCACCTGAGGTAAGGAAGGCATTGTCCGGTGACCCACTGGTGGTAAAAACCTTCTGTCAGCTCCTTCCCGAGGTCGTGCCCGCCTCTGGCCGCCATCGTCCGAACCAGCTGCAGAACCACAATCACCCCCATTAACGGTCAAGATTCCACACAAGGTCGCGTGCCAGGGAAACAAATGAAATACAAAATGCAAGGCTCCCGTTCGGGCCTTCGGGAGTTAGGTGGCTTGCCCACTCCCGGGGGCGACGCAAGAAGGATGACATGGCCCAAGTACCAATGTCATCGCGGCCGTGTCGTTGCATCCCAACTTCCGGTAGTGCCGGTTCTCGAACAACCAACCCTAACCCTAGGCCGTGTCGTTGCATCCAACCTGCAGAATTTGCCTGGATCTTGCTCCCATGTGTGGGGTATTTTTGGTTTTCTCGCCGCAACGACTGTTCGCGTGTACGTGAGTGAGTGTGTGCTTTAGCGGCGCCTTTGCGGCAGGTCCTGCTGCTGCTGTAATCCGCTGCATTTGACAATTCGCTCTTGTGTATTCGTACGGTGGTACCCATGGTCTGTGCGACTTGTGTTCGTTGGCGGCAATCAAAAGTATTTCGTTCTGTCAAAAGCACAATTTCTTCTGTTACGTGCGAATGTTTTCTTCGTGCGCAACACGTCCCCGGGGTATAGAGCCGCACCAGTTTTTTTCAACTTTGGGCGTCAATCACACACGCCACGGGTGCCTGCCGTTCCTCGGGAATGCGTGGTAATGTACACGACGGGCCTCTTACGTGCCCCTGAGAATGAATCGTGTCAAAGGGCTCACTGCCGCGAGCGAGAGATACCCCGAAGCACAAAAAACATAGAAATGATACACGTACATATCTGGAGCTCAGAACCTGCCAAATACATCACATCAGCCTTCTGACGGAATGCGACGTGCGGCCATAACCCGTCGGCGAGGCGTTTTCAGCTGCATGTCTAATTACACACGCACCTAAGAAACATCAATACCGCAATCGCTCACCGAACAGCCATACCACTGACCTCGCCACGAGAACGGCGCCAAACTGTTAGAAAATGTCAGGACAGGGTACCTCGACTATCGGACCATCGGAATACACAGCAGTGTGTACGTGAAACCAAAATTGCTCACCAGCAAAAAGGCTGTATCCGTCAGCGGCTGCATGAACTGCCCCCCAACCTGCTCCCCGGAGCTTGCCGCCGCCGTAGCAGCATCGTCGACGTCTCCCGCGTTGTCGACAGCGGAGGCAGCCGAGGCTTGCCTAGACAGCTGCCCTTGGGACAGAGAGCTCGACTGCCTCGTCAAAGAAAAGGCAGACGCCTGACGCCTGACATATTGCAAGTATTCGAACGAAGTGGAACAACGGCACGAGTGTAGAGAGTAGAATTGCAGTGCAAAGTGAACATGGACGGGCGGCACGGGGGGCGTGTTGTCTTGACGAGACTAGGAGACAAAGGATACGGTCACGGTAGAGGACACTCCGAACAGCATCTAGGAGGACATGATATGACTTCAGACTTCAGAAACTTCGCCGAGACAGGTCGCTTGATGTACCGTCAGCCGTTATGTCGTCGATTCCTACATTGCACAAGCAGCAAAGTCGAGGCTAAGCAACTTGGCGATTCAACCGCAGAGAACAAGGGTGTGTTTGTTTTCGTCCTATTAATTATGGCGACAGTCCCCCCATTTTTCGTGGTGAGACGTGTACTACACTTTTCAGCGTATGTATGTAGCGTACTACACTTCTCAGTGTATTTTTCTTACAACAACCAACCATCCAGGGTATACTTGTAGGGAAGCCAAGGCTGCCGCACTAGCAGCCCCGGGACAAGCGTGAAAAAAAAACAGGCACGGACACGGGCTAAGGTTCAACAGCATTCACGACGGCTGTCCCCGAATTGGAAGTGCGCGACCCGAAAGAGATTAGTTCGGAACGCAAGCACATACGGGATGCTGAGGTTCTATTGGACACCGCAGCGAATGTCCCACGTCTAGCTATCGCACCTGGTTAGGGACCCCGGCAACAGTTACAATACCTACCACACCCAAGATGCCCGCTAATACGATGGTAAAATTTACCGACCGCCTTCTGCGCCGCTGCCATGCTGTGTTGGATACTACCTGAGAGCGAGGTCCGCCTTCGCATCCCTCACGTGCAGGGCGATTGGACGCATTACGGAGCCAAGGGCATCCTGCATGTCCGCCGGCTGTACCTTGACCTGGTTAATGGAAGCATCAATTCATACAGCCAACCTGAGTGAAACGCACCACTAGTGTGCGCCAAGCAGTCCCTGTCTCAATAGAGGCAACCGACTGGGCACAGGCGGGCGCGAAGGTGTTCAAAAAATAGGGCTAGGACATGGGTTGAAATGTGCTCACTCAAGGTGCGGACACAGTCGGACTGGATTGCATGTTTGATCTCGTTCCAAATCACTGTCCTGGGAGTGCCACCTTGCGCGATTGTCTTGCTGCTACATCAACATTCTGGGGAAATGTGCAAGTATACAAGGTTTCAATTGAGCGCCCGCGTGTTCTTGCCGCAGGAGGATGGTATTTCAGACCACTGTACTGTGAATGCAAAAAAAAAAATTGCTTTACGCACACGATTTCGATCCGTATTGCGAGAGGAACCTAACCCTACCAAGCACGACAGCACGACCACCGACACCAAGAGTGAATAGAAGAAACGCTTTGAGGTGTAGGAACGAGCGGCGCTGGGTGCGTACGTAACACAAACAAGCGCAGAATGAGACGACCAAAAAATACGGTAACCCACATACCGGTCGCCCCGGTGGTCTAGTGGGTAACCTCGCAGCCTGCTAAGGGCCAGGTCATGGGTTCAAGTCTCGGGAGCGTGATTTTTTTTCTCACTAAATAAATCCTGGTCTGGGATGAAAGCGAAAGCGACGCGTTGCAAAGCTCGTTGTTAGTAAACCATAATCGACTTCGTAAGTCGCGAGGGAAGGGATTGCTGTACCCTTCTCGCGATAAAAATACCTCAGACAGGAACCGCAGGAGGGGGTCCAGCCCCCCCCTCCCATGTGACCCCGGTTGGGTCGTCTAGCCAGTAGAAGTGGAGGATAGGGGCCAGAGGGGCAGACGACAGAATCCGATGATGGGAGAAAAAAAATATATATATCGTCGTCTATCGTTTGGTACATGTACCTTGAGGCGTACGAGCTCCAACGCGAACACCTACACCTTCTTCTGGCAAAAGCACATTGTACATCGCAAGGTCCTACACGCTGACGAATCATTCGATGGAGGCGGGCCAAATAACAGTCCAGCTTAGCGCAAAAGAGCTTCAGCTCAAAAAACGACGATATCCGGTGCACCAACACATGAAACAAACAAGCATCTTACGGAACGTTGCCAACGCGTTGTTCGTTCCATCGTGTATCCCGACCGAGTCATGTCGGAAGCCCGCGCACCTCGGCCATATGCAGTATGAGCACCGCCTTGAGTCTGGCGTAGTATGCTGTCGCCGGGTCTATAGCATCCGGGATGTACAGGTCCGGGGTCGGGGGGGAGATGGAGGGGCAACCCAAGTCGCAGTCAAGAGCCACCTGCGCGCTCAAGGTCAATCGCAGGGGACTCGCGGAGTCAGGGGATGCTGACCGTGCAGCGTGCAACCAGAGGCCTCTCAAGAGGTCTCACCCGATTTAATTTCGGATCCGGGTTGAGAGCATCCGTGATAGTTTTCGCAGTCGATGGGGACAATCCGCACCCTCGATCCACACAAGCCTATCCCTTCACCACAAAAACTCCCGGGCAACGTGCGACGCAGCAAAGGAGCCTCGGCCATGTCCGAGACCTACCCGTATACGAAGCACTCAAAGTAAACCGCGTCAGAAACGACAATGGGGTGGTACATATCATTCCAAAGCACTTCTACGATCGAGCCGTGTGCACCGTAGCCTCCACTACGTAACCACCTGCTTCGCCGCACGCAAGCCCCAACTCACCGCCTTCTGAACTGCGCGCCACAGCCTGTGTTGCTTCTCCTCCTCCCCCCGCAGCTCCGCGGCGAACTTGGTGAGGAGGTGACCAGCGATGCCATGCACGAGCCAACGGTGCTTGCCGCCCTCTAGGCGAAGCGCGGTGCTAACCCAGCCGTAAAGTAACACCTCTACCGCTGACAGTCTCGCGTCTCCAGGGAGGTCACCATCAGGAATCCTATCATTCACCAGATGCCGCGATCAGCGGCATCGCGATCTCGCTCAGGCTACCAAAGTCATATTTGCACTGCAAACCTGTATCATCATCGGTTTCTCGCAACGTCATCCGCTACGACACGGCCGCCATAGCATAAACCATCCTTATCACTCCGACCCAGTCCACATTTTCACGTTCACCGGTCGGGCGAGAGATTGAACTTGTACCCCGCGAGTCGAGCAACGATGTTGTCGTGCGCCTTTTCAGCACCAATGTGGTCCTGAGAACCTTCAACAGCCATCGCCAACATAATCATCATCATCGTTGAGAAACCCTTCGTGGAATGAACTGTGTCTTGTGCATCTGGTCAACAGCGTCGCCCTAAGTCAGCAGTACCGACCACAAAGCGCCCCTACGACTCAGATTGCAACACAAATCAGCGCAGTAATATTACCCCGCCGAGAAAGCAGCAGAACCGCTTCTGCTGCATCGAATGCCGCTAGCCATCAGGCAAAGTTGACCGAAAGAAAAAGCAGCGGGAGATCACTCATTACCAAATGAACAAAATATGAGTGCTGTCATCTGATGAATTCTGCCAGTCCATTTGTACACTATTCCGAAATTTTGGAAGCCTAGACCTTGGCCACACAGGAAGGGAGGGGATAAGGGTAAGGAGGGAAATGTCACCCACGAGACAGGAGCAGCCTTTTCCTATTCACTCCATCTTTTCTCTGCGCTGCTTTCCCGAATCGAAATATACATAAACTGTTCACACATGGTTATTCGATATGCACACCGTCACCCCCCTACACTACGTCAGACGAGATTAACTCCAACGAGTCAACGGGCCCCCAACCACGCACTTGTCAGTCGACAGTCCACAATGCTGTGTTTGCAGGCCACACAATAAATGGTGAGGTAATATCGTTTGCAACGGTTTTAACCACAAGCGTTCCTGAACTCCTTTGCGAGCAAAGCGAAAAACTCTTTGAGGTGTCAATATAAGTGATGGAAGCATTTTCTCGCGATTTCCGTGAGCTCCATAACGTCGCTCCAAAACAAAAAATCGGAAAAAGCAGGTGGCACAACCACAAATGACAACACGCATCACCATTGAAGAGCGTCGGACAACCAATATTACACGTAACGTCTAGAACCAAAAAATAAAGAACTACCACTGTTCTAAGGAGGACCGCCATACAATAGTCGGTGGCTCCAAGAAATAAAGTGAGAAAGTACTAGCGACGCAACCTCCAAAGCTTATCGAGGAGCCTGTGTACAGTACCTGTCGTCTTCAGTGCACAGCAGCTCGGCCTTGAGCAGGCATAGGGAACCGAACGGCGCAAACACGTCCGGCAGTCCCTCCACAAAAACCTGCATAGGCGCAAAGGAGGAAACCAAACATAGCAAGGTGGAACACAGACAGGGTGGGAAATACAACAGCCTGCCGGACGAGAGCCAACCCAAAATTAGTCGTGAATATTCCCCGCATGTTCCATGGGTGGACTCCTGACTCATGGGTAGGGCAACGACATCCCTCTCACGGTTGCGTTCCCTCGGCATGGCCAGGACAATTGTCGCGAATTGCTTCTGGCTCGAGACGTGTAAATGAAGGCACCGCATGCTCAACCTTCTCAACCTGTACGGTACGGCTTGAAACCCCTCCATGACTGTCGACCCTCCCTCGACAACTACAACGTGCATGCACAGCCAAACAGCGCCCCACGAATGAGTAGTCTCCTGGGTCATGGCTTCACCTAGACCAAAATGAACGATGAGAGAAACGCTCAATCAGGCGGTGATTTTTAAACCACGCCGAGAGAGAGCGGTATGTTTCCTCGGGAGCGATGTTGTTCTCTGTGCGCATTACATCACAAAATATCTACATCATGTGACATCGCAAAACGACCCACAATACCATGCAACATCATCGCATACATGGCGTCACATGACATCGCATGCCATTCAACAACGTCACACAAGGTCACACTACGTCATACTCGATCGCATGACGAACGTCACCTGCGTGCACCGTTTGAAGGGGTAATCGGCCTTAAGCCAGTCCTCGAGGAACGAAACGGCGGCCGGCACGTGTGCAAGCAAACTTCCCGCCGCCGCAATCAAGCTATTGTCCACCGCCCTTCTACGCTCGGACTGTGCCAAGCAACAGCAGCACACACGCATTTAACATAACAACAACAACGGAGAGAGACGAGCTCGACGAAAAAACGAGCGATGAAAAACCTCAGCAATGGCCATGCAATCGTAACCTATTCGTGAATGAATGAAAGCATGACAAAAAAAAACGAGAGGTCCGTCGGGGAAAATCAACTTCCAACTTTCGTTTGAAACATCAAAGGGGTGGTAGAGGTTTGACGTTTCAACAGGATGGATGCGAGGAACGAACCGAAACGTGTGCGAGAACTGCGAACCCTTCAAGTCAGGTCTGCTTGATGGAATGACGGAACGAGAGGAGGCACAATGCGATTCACAGGGTGCGATGCAGAGCTTTCGACCGAAGCATGTTGCCGTAGTAGCCATGGTTCACATTGGACCATATCATCCCCCGATCTCAGACAGCACTATAATTTTTTCCAACGCCCGATATCAGCAGGGCCACTTCTTCATTTCTAAAACAAATACGCAGCTATCGGACACGCCGCAGCCAATTTCAGAGGAAAACATGCAGGCGTTTTTGGCCCCCTCCTCGTGGATAGCAGTTGAAGGGCCTGCGCATATCGCTAGCTTGCTGCAGCTGCTTGCTTGCTGCTGACTTGTTATCGGTACCGTATGCACCGCTGCTACGTGGTCGTCGTGCGAGTCAACTCCAGGAGAGTCGGTTCGGTTGGAAGATATTGTTGGCCGGAAGATGAGCATACCCAGCTATACCCAACCACAAAGGTTTCGGTCAGCAACAAGGGAAGCAACCTGCACCAACAGCGGCACCGGCAAGAGGTAAGGAACCTTTACAATCCACAGCAGCTCCACCAAAAAAACAACAACTATTCAACAACAAGAGGACGGACGAAGCCACCTGCACTCCCATCGCCACCTCGACAAAAACTACCCGTTCTTGCACCTTCATGGTGCCTGCCCTTCCCCCACCCCCCGCAGAAGCAGCCTTCAGCACCAATCCCTTCACGCGAGGGGAATGCGGCACGTCCCAAGCAGCGAAACGGCCAACGGCGAGCCCGACAGCCCGGGCGGCCGTTAGAGTCTCCGTCGAGAACCGATAGCAAGTGGAGTAACTGCCGACATAGCGAACGGTGGGGGGATGTCGTAGAAAACGTTCACCGCAGGGGAGACTATTGTAGATCTTCGAGAAACGTTGATCCCGACGACGACAGCAAGCGCTAGAGAGCAACAGTGCCTATTTTACGATCCAGAGAGAGAGACAAAAGCCTCGAAATCGTCAGGGCAAAAAATCCTGCACACAAGTCGTACCAGAGTGCCCACAGAAAATGGTCATGCGGACTGTCATGAATGCTACTAGACACCAAGGGTCTGGAGCGACCGAAGGTGAGACCGCACAATGATGTTGCCTCCGGCGCGACAAATCCGATCTTGAACTTACTACATCACCGTCGGACATTGGAGTAGATACGCTCAAGATCATAGAGGGCGATCTCAACTCGACAGTTTCACTGACAGCTCAAGGCGATATTGTGGCGGAGTTTTTCAACGGTCGGGCTTCACACGAACCTTGTGCTTGCCTTGCTTTTGCTGACAAAAATTCTATCAACGTCCTCGAGAGCAAGTGTTCACTTAACTGTTATCCCACCCTCCCCAAACGATAGCAACTGTAACATTGCTCCCTCACTACAGCTATAGCTATATACATTGCCTATGCACTACTACCGGTGTTACTCTCCAATGATATACCTTCAAACGCTTGACGCCCTACGCAACTTGTACAGACTTAGTGACACACTTTCGCAATCCGTTGCATGGTTCGTCAACGCCTTGCCGTTGTGCATGATGTATCATCTTATTCCCGCACAGAATCTGAACAAAAAAACACATGTAAATCGATTCCTCGCGCCTTGACACGGTCAGCGCCGTCTGGTTTCCGTCACTGCCAGTATTACCGCGCTCACCTAGTTCTCTTTCTAACAGCCATGCCGTCGGTGCCGCCGTTGGCACCGGCATCGCCGTCATCACCATCGTCATCGTCGAGCGTGGTGCTCTCCAGCAGCCTGCCGTTGAAGGCAGCGGTGATCTTGGGAGATGCCACTCGGACCGTCACGTCGTACGAGATGAGAATAGATGCATGGTCGACACAAGGGAACCAGCACCTGCACCCGACAAGCGTTTCAGGCGAGCGGAGAATCGAGTTTCGATGAGCGAGAGCAAGGGCACACAAGTGTGCGGTGTTTCGTCAACGACACGAGCTGGAGCTGTTCAGTTCGACGGTCAAGAGGGGCCACAACCCGAGCGATATCATATCAAGAGATGACTTTAACATTGGTGGCCTCTCGCTGGTGGTGGTTCTGTTGCAAGGGTGTAGGCGGAAGTTGTGGCCAAACGGGGTGATGCTGGTCATGTACGATGGTTCCGGGATACCTAGACACGAACGTTATGCATACGGTCAAGGCAAGGACTTCCCTCTGGCGCAAAAAAACAACAAGAGTCCACGAGTTGTACAGTACACACCAACAAAACAAGCAAAGTCACTGCGTCAAACTTCAAGCATTCATCCAAAGTCACCTCGACAGGGTGAAACGACGTTAACTTGCTTAGACCGCTGGAAACAACGCCGCAACAGGAAGGCTTACATCTAGGCAAGCTAAAAAAGGAACCAAACGCCTGGATTTACTCGTCGCGAAACTCTTGGGTTATGTTCAGCAACAGCAACACGATGTTGCACAAAGCCAGAATGGACAGCAAAAGCGAGAAGGCCAGACCAACACCGTCTGTCGTTGTCTCGATCAACCCGCTTCACCTCGGCCCGTCCATGTCCATGGGCGCGTGGGAGTAGGTGGTGTACATGTGGTTAGCGCTGAAGCCCTCCCTGGCCGCCTTGAAAACAACGCCGGAGCGGGGGTGCAGCAGCTCCCACTCCACCTTCAAGGTATGAAGAAGGTATGAGAGCATTAACACTATAACTTTGGGGATGAAGCGCATGCTGCTTACGAACACAACAGACCACGTTCGTTTGAATTTTCCAGTGTTGGCACTCCTGTCGACAGACAGACAGCCCGCCTTTGCTTTCTTCGTTGTGGTCTGTTCATGTGGGGTGTGGGGTGTGGGGTCTATCAAACAACATATTTTCCTTGAAGCCTCCGCCCGTGCCTTCCCCAGCTGCCTTGAACACCGCGTCAATCAGCGTTGCAACCTCATCCCACTCCAACCTCAGGACAGGACCAAAGCAACCCCTTGAAATCAAGAACAAGGAGGATACCCCTCCCGTACTCCATTATAGTGGACTAGTCCTTTACCGCTGAGAGACGGAAACACCAAAAGTCACTGGGTATACCGGGCCGACAACCGATGGTGTCGTATGAGCAAATACGTCAATCGGATGAAGGTCGGGCACAGCTAAGCACCGACAGCGTACTAAACAGCACTCAGACATGGGATACAGCTTTCATACTTGAAGGTCCGAAAACGGCGGGAGTGAGAGACAGGTCAAGAGCAAGAACCTCCAGCCTTGGTGACAGTGGACAAGAGAGAAATGAGCACCGCCATCCTCGTCATTCTCACCCAACTGGTTGCCTTGTAGGGTACGATGATGTCGTCCGAGTGTATAGGCCATGGCGTCAGGCCATAGCCTTGGTGAAAAGAGGATGGTAAACGGAAGGGTGGCACCGCAACCACCACCCAGGTACATTGTAACCCTATTAGTAGCCTCAACCAAATCGATCAAATCAATCAAATCAAGCGAGAAAACGACGCGTCAATGGACAGACCTTACCTCAACGCAAATGACCTTGGCGTGCTCCTCCCTCTTGCGCTGGCGGTGTGCTTCCACGGTTGCCGATTCGACCTCCAGGTTAGTGAAAAAGAAAACAATGGAAAACACAACAAGAGAAGAGAGCACAAGATAGTAAGGTATGTAGTACATAGCCTCGCGTTTGGCGGCACATTTCGCCACAAGATCCAATACTTCATACAAACCAGCAGTGCCAAAATATCGTAGGCGAGATTGTCACAGCAAAAAGCACCGAATTTGACCAAACCCTCTTGCACGGCAAAACGTCTGATTCCACGACAAATTTCGTGGAAAGTCGCCCCACAGTCAGGCTTGATGTTGTGGTTGTGCGCGTTGGTGGTCATGGAGGTATTATCCGTGTAACAATTCTGGCATGCACACCGACCTGTACGTACCTGCCGTTTCAATCTGACAGAGATCAGAAAAGTTTTACGTCACAGCTCCAGTGACGTCCGGCGGCATGATGAACCAGCTTAATGCTGCCTTTTGGAACCAGTATCGACCCATCCCTAGAAAGTTGTACATACCTCAAGCACAGTAAGCTGGCTTATCGGTTGCAGGTCACACCAGATGTACTTCACCTTCATAAGGCAACGATATCCGTATTGGCTGGTAATAAACAACTATTCAGCTCAACCGTGAGGCCGAAAACTGCTGAAGGGGAAACCCGCATACGACAAGCAATCTCTCCATCTGGGCAGCTGGGCACAACAGGTCGACTACATATTCCACGCGAATTTGATCCCGTCAAGTCCAAAAACAAACGCGTGTGTTACGACATCGAACGGATACAAAACGCCCTGTCTTCACGGCAGGGACGTTATTCTTGCTGCAGTGCTTGCAGCATACTAATACTTACATGGCCATCGTAGTTGTCATCGTCGGAGGAATCTGCCACATCCATCGGTGCTGGGGAGTCCATGTTGGCATTGGAACCAGGAGAAGGGTGGGCGGGTGACATCATCGAGATTTCCGGAGATTGCGGCGCAAAGCCGCTTCGCGAGCCCTGGCCAGCATGGCACGGAACAAACGCGCAACACGTGAAGAGCTAAACCTCACCCTGATACCATCATTGGGAACATGATCGCCTAGAAGCTATCTTCCAATGAAGTGGTGTGTAGACTACATCCCTACTACCCCAAAATAACCTAACGTGAACAAATGCGAGTTGCTGCACACACAAAAATTTGAGGGGTCACGAAGGTGGAGTCGCGGAAAAACGTAGACCGTTTCATAGCATAGCACAGTTGTGGCGGAACAACTTGACGCTTCGCATCCCAATGCGCGCCAAACAAGAAACATCTTTCGCTGGTAGTTACGAAACGACGTCGATGGAAACATGCTTCTATTCATGGGGGCAAGCCAACCAGAGGTGATCTAAATGAAATTGATGCCGCCCCAGCCAGCAAGTTGGTGTTTGGGATTCATCGGCCGAACATCCTATTGACCGCGGAAGAGACCAACGCTAGTTGCAATCATAGACCCTTTCGTACGCCCCGGTGCCCTCGCCTCGAAACTCGCGATTTGTGCAGCAGCCTACAGATTTTTTTCATTGGTACGTGTGTGCGTCCCTTCACACCATCCAAAATTATCTCGGCACCAGCTCGACACCGTCGGAATGTCTGGACGAACCAATCCTTTCAAGTAAGACGATTTAGCCAAAGCTTCTGATCTCGAAATCCTTCTCCGCCTCCCTTTAGGGGTATGGCAGTGCAAGCACTAGTACCCAAGACGCATGCCGAGCGAAAGCAGGTCGGAGGGTGGAACTACACGCCATGACACACGCTCACAACCTGTTGTTACTGTATAGCAGTACCTGCTTTCGCTTGGTCTCCCTCCGTTCCTCCACCTGGCGCGACTTGTGTATGAGGCGAGCGGTCTCGTCCCGCCGGGCGCGGGCCGCTGACGGTGCCGTCTCTGGAAGGTCTGGAAACGTCGGCCGTTCCCGATTGCACCATCACACACACGGGACAAGTCTCCACTACATATGTCCACAACTCCAATCGGCACGCGGTACGAATGCGACGGGTGCACCCGGAGAAAAATGGAGACTGGGAAAAACAGGATATCACTATGGCAGTACCATAAATCCAAATTTGCTTCCAACAGTGCAGTCATACATGTCAATATCAACCGGGTAAACACTGAATCAATCAATGCAAAATCTGGCGGCGAATGGGGGGAAGCTGGTTCATCTACATAGGTCGGGTGTGGTGAGCCGTTTTACGGCACAACGCGGAAAGCGCAAAGCCGACAGTCGAAACCCAGAACAGCGGATTAGTGGGTTCCCATGCTCAGCAGCACAAGGCGCAAACGATACTACGAAATAATGTCAAACACGTGCTGCGTTCACCAGACCACAACCATCTTCATCACCCTCACGAAACACGAATGAACAAAGTCAACGTCATCATCCGGTGAAGCTGGACGTGTAGGTTAGGTTAGGTTAGGGCCAAGGCCAAGGCCGAGGAACGGTTGAAGCTTGGCAACACGTCGGCAACGCATGAAAAGGCCTACCGGCAGGAGATGCACGTGATGAGAAGGTGCAGGGCGAAACAAACACGAAGCAAGAGGCAGTAAAGAACAACGATTTTTCAGCGGCAGCAGCATCTCAAAAATGAAATTCCAACCCTACGCCAATCACCAAGTCAGCAAGCACCTGGGGGTAGCTGGGGGATCTTTTGGGAGTTCGCCGGCACCTGGATCTTGAGCTCGCCGTTGTTACTCTGGGAGCTCGCCCACAGCTTCGCTCTTACCCAGGCCAACGCCCCGTACGCACAACGACAGCGACATCGATAACCGCAAAAAAATAGGTGCACAACACGGCAGATCAGGGCAGGGTGGCGTCAAGAGCCAGCCTGAGCGTTTCAAAAGCTGCGAACACATCGTCGAGGAAACGCTGACGACGGAAACGACCGCACGAGGAGCACCAACGACCATGTTGTGCCGGAAACCACGTTGATGCATGCGTCGCAATTGGCCGCCGCATTCGTGCGATCCGAAACGACCCCCGCCGTCGTCGATCAACGCCAACGCCAACGCCTAGCACGGTTTTGCCTGGCAAACAGTCACGGTGATCGTTCGCGACGAACAACGGGTGTCCGCTGTTCCGCCGTCATGGACAGCCAAAGACGACAAGACCACCCACACAGCGCCTTCACCCAACAACTAAGATACCAACGCGACCTATCAAGTCCCTTGCGAATTGTCCCTCTAGAACTGATATCCTAGCCCGAACAAACACAACTCAAGAACCTGTAGCAGATATCGAAGGCCTCGGCATCCCGGTAACCCTCTGGGCTGACAACCTCCTCCAGACTATCCAGGTATGTTGACGCGCACAGGCACCCGTTCACCTTTTTAGAACAAACAAGAGATCAAGTCGCAAGCCACACTCGATCGTGTGGGATGTGAATGCAACATGAAACTTATCTCTTTCCGTGAAGGTGGCATTTGAATACCTTCTACTGTCAGTGGTGTGTCCGGTGGACGGTAGTTAGTCAATAGACCGGTTGGTTTGCGGAAAATCGCCTACCACCTTCAAACCCATGTTCTACGTGCGTGTATAGAACCGAGCGCGTCATTCGTTAAGGAATGGTTCTCTTCAGAATATGAGAACTGGACCCCAGCCTGCACGAAAACCTATTTTTACCACCAGTTCGATTGCTTACAACAGCAGCCCTGTCCTGTATTATTGCTTCCTACTCTGACCGGACTAGTTGCTGTGCCGTTGATTGAAGCGGGGCTGGGAAATCGTACCTTGGTAACCTTAATATCGTTCTGCCGGCAGTGTAGCTTCATCTCCGTGGGGTAGCTGTCATACCGCCCATGCGAGGGAATATGCAAGAGCCAGATGGACGTGCGTCCTCTCAAGAAGCTCTTGTCAATGTCCACCTCTAAGTCGAGGCACTGCACAACCAAGTGGGGACACATCGATCAAGTCAGCAGCTGGGGAGACAGCGGGGGGAGCCATCAATGTAAGAATGCAGGACCGGGTGCGCTCTGTGCAGTTTGAGGCGTGAGGCGGCCGTGTTCTCCTCGCCCCCCCGTACAGAAAGCAAAATACTACTGCTGAAGTCCGCCGATCTCCCGTTGTCGATTCCCACAGAGTGCGTTCAAAAGTAGCACAACCAGTGTCAATACGGATGCACAGAGCTTGCCCTGGCTTTCTTTCCCGCAGTAGGCACAAGCTGCTGTCGACACCACACTGCTGAGTCTACATTTTAAGCAAGTTGACTCTTTCGTCGCGTGCTCGGTTAGACGATCTTGGTCTTCGCTCTGGCATATTGCGGCGATTCACCAGAGAGCTTGCAGACAAAACCAGCCAAAATACAAAAGAGCGCGCCATTTGGTGGGGTAGGATCTCTTCGTGACAAGCCGCAAGCGACGGCAGTGGGGACACCACTCCGAGGTCAGCGTGCTGCGTAGGACTCGAGATAATGCCACTCCCAACCCAAGCTCACACACTGATCGAGTTCAGCAGCAGTACCTGATAAAGTGGTGTCAGCTGCTCCTTCGGCCCCTCCATGACGCCACCCTTGCCCTCGGAAAAGAAAAGGGCGAGGAGAACGTGGAACCACGCAGGGCGTACTGGCACGCACCACACTGCCGCGGAAGCGCAACGCACTGCTGTCAATGTTAAACTGGTGTGTCTGTGTGTTCACTTGCAGCCCAACGTGGGGGATCCGTGGCATCAAAGCCGGAAGTGGTGGGTGGGTGTGATCCCTCTGGTCCATGTCGTTTCCGTCACAGTCCCGCCGAGTTTCGCCGCAACATGTTACCAGCACACCGAGTCACAGTTTCGTGCGGCCAGAATAATTTTCGGGCGTGGGCGCGTTCGCGTGCGCGCACGTTAGTCGTGAGTTGTCGTAATTGTTGTAGACTAGTCCATTTTCTCCTCGGGGAATCGGAGGAAGTACACCAACGGGTGTCTGTATTGTGGACGATACGTGTCGCTCCGCACAGGTTACTCATCGGCACGAGCTCGTCCTGGAACTTCATGATCGAAGCTACAAACGCACACCGCGGGACCGGCAGCAGTGCGGCTGGCCAAACTCTGGTGGTGCTTACATCATGTCGAGGGCACTTAGCACGGAAGAGGCCCATCAACACCGTTCGCCAGAATCAGCTGTGCCTGTCGCCGGCGTGGGTAGCGATGCCATCCCTGTAGCCTTCCACGCGCAGCAGTATCAGGCCGTCCCGTGTATACAAACATGTTCGGGGGCAACAATGGGCACCACCTCCTTCACAGCAAATCAACGCGAAGAGTGGCTTCGCGGAATGATGCAGTCCTCAGCAGCAGCGGCGGCGGCGGCGGCAGCAGCAGCGACGGCGGCGGCAGCGGCGGCTGCAGCAGCGCGGCGTCGAGGAGCATCAACGGCGGGGGGGGCGCCGTCCACTTCGGAAGCTACTCCACACTCCTGCAACGTGCACGACGCTTCGGTCCAGCAGCCGATAGAGAAAGCACATACCCCAAAGGCGAAAAGTAATCTACCCTATGCGGGTCAAATGGGAAGCGGTGTTCTCAGCAATGCCGTCGGCGTTTGGACCTCTTCTGGCATCGCTGTATCGGAATCAAGGGCTGGCAAGGTTGACGAAACCGTTGACATCGGGGCACGGGCCAACCCTTCCGGGGTATACCCTGTGATACAACCTTTGGGCTTCCGGGGATTCCCCACGCAACAGCCACCACGAAGTCCACCCGGAACCATGGCCTCGCGAAAGCAGCTGAAAGCCGCCGAATTCGCGGCAAATACGAACCCGTTGCCGGGACGGGCACACCCGTTTAGAGCCGGCATGTATTACCCTCCGCACGAGCCAATAACATGTCGACCGTTTTCGGCCCCCGCAAGCATGTTTTCCATCCCTACCACGACACAAATCTCTAGCCCTGCTGGAGGTGTGTTCAAGCGCCCTCACCCCCCTGCCGTGGGATCACGGAGGGAAGCAATTGCAGCTGGAAGGTCGAAAGGCTGCTCGACCGTGGGGGGATGTGGACTGTCGAAGGCGGCGACCAGGGCAGCGGCCAGGGCAGCCGCAGTGGTCTCTGTGATATCAGCTGCGGCTGATCACAAAACAAGTGAAGCGAGGGCAGCAGCTGCAGCGGCGGCGGCAGCAGCAGCTACAGGGACAAATGAATTTGTAAAAGGGTAAGGTTTGGCGTTTGGTTTGTTGTCCGGTCGTTCTACGAATTTCTTCCAGCGTCGTTCAATAGATTCGGTGTATGGCATGTCTCGTATTGGCTGGAATCTCGTGCAGCTTTCGTGTCTTGCGTGATACCTTACAGTCGAGCTACCCTGCCCAACCCCCCAACGATACATCGCATGGTGCTTGCCCTGTTGTACCGATTATCCGCGAAGCCACCCTTGCCGGCAGCAAGTGATAGTTGGCACACGGCACACCTCATGTTTAAGGGGGTGGCTTGAAACGGTGGGAGCAGCATGATCGCCGCCGCTGATCTCTTGTTGCCGGTCAAATATTTTCCTCTGGTGATGACTCAAGGATCGAACCGACCCCTTCCAGGCCCATGTTCGTTTGAGTACGTCGATAACCGGGGCCGTATGCGGCATGAAGGGGATGATGCACGTTCCACGACAGAGTTTCACCTGTTCACGTGACAAGACCTCTGATTGGTATCTGCGTGGCTAATGTTGTTGCTGAATCCCCAACGAAAACCGACTACAACCCTATCCCGCATTGTATCCCCTGCACGTGTGCACCAATCTTGAGTCACACGTTTCACACGAAGTCCCTATACTAGCGCACCCTGCCGGATACGATGCGCCCCGTTCAAAAGCTGTTCTCAAGAAAGCAGAAAAAGGCACCATAAGTTGTATACCCGCGAAGTCGTTTCACAATCGGAGGCGCCCGGTACCTGATCCTCCAAGACATTTGATACATTTGAGCGAAACAACAACGGACTTTCTATTTTTTTTGCTTGACGGCTTTGCACAGGGGCACGGGGATGCTGAGGAAAGGCCGGAGTAAGCGGGACCGTGAGGGCACCGGTGGTGGTGGGAGGGGTGGTGGAACGAAGCATCCACGCCGCCCTGCAACAGCCCCTTCCTCCAGCACTCGTGCTATGGCAGGCACCGAGCATGCCGAGTCAAAGACCCCGCTTCACGGTCTGTTGCACAATCTACAACCCCATCACCTTCCTCTTCAGAACCCGGGTAAGCCTTCATACCTCAGCACTTCGTGGGGTGCCGGATCCCCGATACCGACGCGGCCGCAGTGGTCGTCCGATTGTTGTGCTCCTTTCAGGCCAATGCGGCAGTCAGCGTCGCCGGCCATCACGGCACAACAGCCACACCCACAGCGTTCATCGGGAGCAGCGCATTCGCACGGTGGAACAGCAGTGGCAGCTAGAACCGCGGAAGCAGTAGCACCAAGCGACGCTGCGACGGGAAGAATCAATAGCAAATGGCCAGCAGACAAGAGGCCAGACGCGGAACCGATGGCTAGGTCGTCTCCTGAATCTGAAGATATCTACACGGATTTGTGGTTGACCGGGATGCCGTGGGCTACGTCGTCGCCACCGAACGTGGAAAACCTCGAGGTGAGTCGTTCGCGACGGTATGGGTACAACATAGAGACCCAACGTGCATGCCACGCTCACGTTTTCCGTGAAATCGACTCCCTCTGTGCTTTTACCATACTGGACAGATGTTAAGACGATGGCTCTCGCATCAAAACAATTGAGAGCCATGCCATGAATTTGCAAAATGGAACAACGGAGAGTCTGTGGTAGAGACCAGTTCGAGTGAACCAATAGCACGGGAACGGCTTGCCTCCAAGACAATGTGACGCCATTTCCGCCCCCCTACTGCCCGTCCGACAACCTCAGTTGGAGATGCCGGTGGCCCCAGCCCCCTTGGATGCCCTCCGCAGCGACGACCGAGGCTCGAGGGATGACGACGACGAGGAGGAGGAGGACGGTGTTGTACGGGAAGCTACGCTATTCATGCACCAAAACCAAGCAGCATCTCTGGGGCAGCAAGGAAAGGAGCCCAGTGGCGGCAGCAGGGTCGGGTTCGCTCCACAGGAACCACGAGTGGTGCACATGTCCAGCGAAACAGCAGTTGATGTGAGGACCGCGTCCTCCAGAGCCGAGGGCGAGAGGGCCGCTGGACACGTGAGCGGTACACAAGAGGCTCCGCCGTGTCGTGGTGCTGGTACCCCTGCCAACACCGAAACGGCGATCGCTTCCGAGAAGGGCTTGCCTTTGCCGTTGGGTGTCTCTACCAGCAAATGTGGGCAGAGGGACGATAATAGCGGTGTTCCCGAAGGGGGCCAAGGCTGCTTGGGTGCCGAAACGAGCATCGTCACCAGAAAACCGCGACAGATGACTGGCCCCCAGGCGGACCTGTCGGAGTTAGGACCACCTCTAGATGATGGAGCGGAGACTGTCCCGGGGCCGGCGCATGCACCTCATCCACCCCCCCCACCGCCACCAGTAGCTCCACGGGCAGCCGAAACGACAGCCCCAGGCGCTCTGCAGGAGAACACGCACCTTTCGCTCTCCATCTCTCCCTCAACCCCTCGCACAATCACGCAACCGACCCCACACCAAAAACTCTCCCCGAGCGCGGATAAGCCTACCGCCGCCGCCGCATCCCTGCCCGTCTGGGCTTTGCTGCCTCCAGCACTCCCGGGCCTTGACGTGACTGCTTCGCCGTCCTACCCTCAGTCTGGACCTTGGCCAGCATCCAGCATCGATACCGTGCCCGCCGATGCGGGCGGGAGCAATACTACTTCTTTGGCGGGTTCTGCTAGGAATGCCGCCGCTACCACCTCCATCTCCAACTCTCCCCCTACTTCCCCTAGATCAGCACCATCGAGCACACAGGCACCAACAACCGCAACAAAATCGGGAACTATAGACGAGGCAGGCGACGCAGAGCAAGCTACACCAATCACGGATTTAGTGGGCGCAGCGATGGCGTGCGGATCAAGGGTATCACCATCGGCCTCAGGGCCATGCCCGACCGGTCAAGGAAATATCAGTGGAGCTCAAGCCGAGTCTTCGCCCTCCGCCCCAAATTTTTCTCCTGCTGCGTCACTAGCTTCTTCTGGCTGGACAGCTGAAGCCTCAAAATCCTGGACCTGCGCCGGAGGCACCTTCCGGAACGCTGCGGACAGTAAACATGACGGCGCCGACAGCCTTCAGGCCGTTCTCAGGGAGGGGCCTAGCAGCAGGGATGTTAGACCATGCGAGGTGAGTAAACGCGATAGTGCGGCGCTCACCGGGAGGATGGGGCAGAAATGTCCCGGACCATTCCAATGCTTTGTTCGTTCTACAAGTGCCACTCGAGGTACTGTAGTCCTTGGGGCACATTTCACCGGCTTAAGGTTAGCCCGAACCCCCCCCCCGGTGCTGCACGCAGCACAAGCATGACGAGCGAGCCAGTAGCGCCGAAATTTGTAGTGAAACCCGCAATACTGTACTGGTATGTCACGGCAAGAACTCTTCCAGCTAACCATTACCTGCAGTACCATCGCAGAAAGATGCCACGCTATCGGCGACTAGGAGCGGCAAGCTGTATCTTCTCGTCGCATGATTACCTCAAATAACACACACGAAGACGGCGGTATAATTTCTCTGACGATTTCACCCTCACGCGCACCTTCACGTTTCCGCTCAGTCGATCATTCCCTCGACGTTTCCTCTCCTTTCCCTCCACCGGCGCGATTTTGCCATCAATCGAAAAAGAAGGTGTCCACTTCGCGAGGAAGAAGTGACGACGGCGATGGGAGGCGAGGGGGTGGACCAGGACCAAGCGCAAGATGACGCCAGCGGAGCAAGGTCAACGCCAAGGTGTGTTGAGCCTTGTCGTCGATGGTGTTGTTCGTGGACTTGGTCGCAGCAACGCCCTGTTTTATGTTTTGAAACATTCTTACCGGTAGCATGTTTTGAGCGATTTTGTCGATGACATCAGCCCAGTCCGTGTCAATGCTATGTGTCATAGGATTTCTACAGCCCCCAAGAAGGATGCCTCCGCCTACTTTTCAGGTGCATGTGCGCACAGGCTAGACTTGAGGTTTTCCTGCCGACAAGAGATTCCCACTTTTCTCATCCGCCACTGCTTCCCAATAATCTGGTCTCCACGCGCACCACAAGCTCGTTGTTACTTATCATGACTTGCTAAGGACCTCCTTTCTGGTTGTTCAAGGCGCACAATATTTTGGTACCTTCGGCGGGCTCACGGTGGGCAAAGTTTGTGTTTGAGGATTAGAAGTGACCACGCCAACGGCATACACTCATTTAGTCCTCTACAGAGGCTTTGTTGGTCCGAGGTACATGGTCGTTCATCCGTGGTCATTTGGCTGATATGAGTAATTTTCCCGGTTATTTGTCGATCTTCTCACACGACATGTCTTTATGTTTGACGTGACGTAATGTCATGACGGGGTGTGGCCTTGTGGTTGTGAGAACACTGACTTGTCTTCTGACCAACGGTTCCAAGCTGAAAGGGTCATGCTTGAATGTCACGATGGCAACAACGGGAACACCAGGACACCACACACGACATTAGCAACAGCGACGACAGAAATACAAATTCGAAAATGAAATTGATTGGCAGCTAACTTTTCGCGTGTTTTGCCACCACAGCGGAGCACCTCTTTATGCTGTCATGGTTTGCACAACACTCGCATGATATGGATCATTTTAACCGTTGTCCAACCTGCGGTCGGGCGCATCCTTGTATGGCTGCGCAGGGCCGAGAACCCCTACCGTGCGAAAGCGCTAGCTGACGCACTTCAGTCGTCACGAAAATTTATATTCCACCACATTGCCGTTCTCTTTTGTTGCCGTATATATTTGCGTGGGTGATCATGCACCCCCCTTGACCAAACTTCAAATTCTGATTGCCTGGGGATCTTTTAACAATCACCATGATACTCGCTCCTGGTTAATGGAGAAATCGAGTTTCGAAATTCTGTGTAGGGCGTGCATGACGACGCGAGCACGTGCGATGTTCCTTTCGGTTGAACTATTCCATATTTTCCAGAACGTTGGGAACTGGAATCGAAGGGCGGATGCATCCATGGGCGTTGTAATAATATTCCGAAACAGAGATGTTTCGCACGCAAGATTGGTTGTGTGGGGTGAGTGTCGGCAAGATCACCGCGATGTCGCCTAGGCATTTCGAAGACGTTGTGGTTTGTCATTGTTGGTATGTGGGGTCAGGTCAATCTGTTGACACGATTTGGAGTAGATCTTGCCGAAGAGCCCGAGATGCATACTGATTTTTCGCCTTTGGAATACGAGAAAATGGCTTCTGGCCGTTCCAACATGTCTCGCTGTCTCCCAAGTCGCACAAACAGTACGATTTCGAATGAATGCACTCTTGTCCTGTTTCGATTTCAGGTATGGTATTATCATTTCACCGAGTCTCTTACGACACCAGGCGTGAGTTCCCCTCAAGCCAGCTGCATGTGTAACGTTTGTTTCGATTGTCAAACCGCTAGCCTTCGGGGGAGTAAGGGGGTGTCACGATTCGGGACTCATCAATTTCTTCGAAACGGGCTCCAGGGACAGCGGGCGGTATGATTTTGGCCAATTTTGCTGTCCAAATTGGTGACGATATTTGGAGCAGCTGGTTTAGGCTGCACGCTCCCAGATCTGGTCGCCTTGTGTGCACAGGTTGCCGTCATTTTGGCACCATGGCGCCATGATGATATTTTCTGAGTATTCCTTGCGGGTTCTGCTTAGAATCCCATCTCCCACTGTGTGAAAGTTGATATATTTTCAGTAATCCCTATTCCAGTCCCTCGCCGTAGCCGTTCTCGTTGTGTGCATCACAATGCCCGTGATGATCTCGTACCTAAACCCCACTACATATTTAAGTAGAAATCCAGACAAGAACACCGCCGAACAAGCCTGAGAAGCAATGGAGCATTCTCCTCCTTGAACAGTGCCTTTCCACAGTAAACGGCTCTCTCTACCAGGTTTGGATCAAGCGCGCGATTAGCATCACGATTGTGCAAGGCTTAGGTGTAACGGCTGTTGGTCACTACGGTTAACAGTTTTCACGGTTATTCCTGGATGTACCCGACCCGGCCACCGCGACATATTACTACCATTAAGTGCCCTCGTACAGCACGCTGAACCCACACGAAAAGTCTCCAAAAAGTACGCTGTACTCTGGACATGGTTCACCTCAACTCCTCAACCTCGACACGGCTCTGGTCGTCAGAAGTCAAGGGTGCTTGAAAGCCTTTCGAACGAATGTCGCGCCGATAAACAACGCATACCCGAGCTAACGGAAGCCTTACAGGGTGGGACTACCTGGCTGAGCATTGCTAGAAGGGGTGTTGGCGGGTGCCGTTGACAAGGTATACTGCTGTGCGTTTATATGTCGAACAATGTACCCATTCTCTTACGGACGTGACTTTGCTTCGCCAATCGATTTATTTCAAGTCTTGGAAGCGTTGCGACGCACGTATTTCTACCCTAAGCCTGTCAATCGAAACGTGCCGAGAGTTCGCACTATGGTAAATCTGTGTTTCGAGCGATTTCGCGGTTCGGCTCGGGAACCAGCAACATTAAGAGTGGCTCAAAAGGTGAGCCTGGGGCGCTAAAAAGGCTGGCTCCCGCTTTTTGTCAGGCCTGAATATTTTTTGAGTTGAGTTTTTCATATTTTTCTAGAACCTCTCATCCGTTGTGGACGCGCACTCTACCCGTTCACCAACATAGAGAGCCCCACATAGCGTAAGGATTCGACGTCGCTTATTCGACCACGAAAATCCACAGCAATGGCAACAGCACTCTGTAGTCGGGAACAGCGCCGAAACTTCAACGATAGCTTCAGATTTTCGGTGGCAAGAGGGCGAGTGAACATTGATCACTGGCGAAGACGAGACTCTGCATAGCGCAGAATAGAGAGGGCGGATGCTGGGGAGGGGCATAGGAGAGGACAACAACGGTGGCTCTTCTTCCGCAAGTGGCGCTCTTCTCAACGTCTGCAACAGATTCTCGCCCTCCCCCCTCCCCAACGAAACGAACATCCCTACCCATTGGGCATTCGTCAGTAAATGAACTCCAGGACAGCCCGCAATCCCCGGATTCCGTCCACCGCGTCACCAATGGATACTTCGTCAGCGCTAACTTGCTGGTAACATTGACCTATTTCGCCGCTTTCCTCGGTTTCTCCGTGTTTGTTCTCAGCTAAAGCGAAAGGGCCCGGTAGCTCGGGGAATGCCGAAGAATAATCTTCGGCGTGTCAGGGGGTGTAGCAATGTGGCGGGCCAGTTCTGAAGCAAGACTGGACTCTGAAGATGTGAGGTTGCACGAGAATCGAAGTAATGTACAGGAGCATTGTACAGTAACAGGCATCTCCGGTGCCCACGGGGGTTATCGGTATTTCGAATCGAAGTGATTCGTGTAGTGTAGGGTACCACCTCAGCGTGCAACGTCATGTTGCGGTGGTAATATTTAGGGCTTGCGGTTCTCGAAGATAGTTTAAAACGACCGTCAAACACGGCCGACGCCCCGCCATATTGGTTATAGTTCTCGGCTCCTTCTCTGTCTACTGGTTGGCCAATGACATGACGGTGCCTTGTATTGGACAGGGCCACCTAGCCGGCGGTGTTGCCAGTGTTTGACGTTGGACTGAGAAGCAATGGTTCTACTGTATGTGGTGCATATTTCCATGCGCCGGAGCCCTTATTTATGGTTGTGTCCGCGGAAAATAGACCAGGTGAAGAACAAACAGATGAAATCATACCCTAGGAGGGGTGCTGTTCTAGGTGTTTGAGTACGTCAGCATGGTATGACGCCCTACCGCGAACAAGGACGAGGATAAACGATCGAAAACCGGACCGGCTGGTATGAGTCCCTCCTTGCGTCCGAAGCGGCGGGGTAGATAAGTGCGACGGCGGTGCTTACCGTTTGCACGTAGTTGATGTTCGGTGCGTCGAAAAAAACTACAAATCACGCGTATCATAGCCCCGGAATCTTGAATAGCTCGCGGAAGCCTTTGGCCTCCTGAGTGCAGCGGGTAAACGATCACAACGAACGGGATGCGTGAAGTCCTAGCAGAAATACGAGAGCTTCTGGGGCGGATAAGAATGGCGCAGCAAGTGTATTGAAGGTGCCTCTACGTGCCACAGCTGTGTTTTGCAGCGGGCATGTCCGGCGTCCGCGGTGTACGTTGGAATATGCTCAACAATTGTCTGCTTTTAGCTTGTGAAATACACATGCTGCCCGGAGCTCTCGGTTTCGTTACGAAGCTAGCCCATGACCACCACGAATGGCCTTGAAATGCATTTCAACCCTATGGGAATCGGTACGGTCATGACTTTGCATGCTCGAGCCTGGAACATGTTGTCTACAGGATCAAGGAAGGAAGTTCCACGTCATGGATCTGTCGGCCAGACGTTTCTCTAATTCTCTCGTATTGTTGGAGAAGAGAACAACAGACAACATTCATTCGCGAGAACAATCTACAAGGCTACACTCTTGAGACATCCTCTGACCCACCGGTAGTCAGAGTCCAACCGCCCTACCCACCAATTATCACCTCATGTTAATCCACCCTTCCACCGCATGACATGCGTGTGTTGTTTTCCACGATGGATCACGTGCTCTTAGATGTCCCTTGTCTATGTATGTAGACGTTAGACGTTACTGAGCAGAGAACAGCAAAAATACAACTATCCATGGACGAACCCAGCAGTGCCTGCACCGCTGCTATAATAGTAGAGTGACTGTTGTTGTCGGACACTATGACTTGAATTTCGCGCGAAGAAGGTTGAGACAACCTAACGTGCACCCGGAAGTAACAGTCTTCGACCGGCCCTCAGCGGAGATAAAGAAGAGGGCACTTCTCACGACGCTCATCCATGCGTATGCATCGTGGCGAGGGACTCCACGCTGTCAAAAATGTTGCCACCACGCTGTCAACAATCTCGCCAATCATGCTCGCTGATGATCTGTCTACAGTAGTACGCACGATCACACCCGAATGAAGGAGACCACCAGAACGCGGACCGGTAGCTCAGTACCGCTCTTTCGGCAAGAACGAAATACCCCCGGGCGAACTTGCATTTATATTGTATAGTGTATGTAGGTGCAGTACACGTCTCACCACGAAAAATGGGGGGGCTGTGGCCGTAAAAAATAGGGCAAAAACAACTCACACCGCCGAGGTGGTGCTGCGACATCGTTTTGGGCCACATATCTCGGCAAGCGCCGGCCACTATGGCACGAAAGAGGGCTTGCGTGACAACTGAGAGCCGTAGGAACACAAATAATGTGGTCTCAAAGCACTTTGTACGTCGACAGGCCTACCTTACGTGAAAAGCAAAAATTGCAGGGCTCCTCTCGGGAATTTTCCCGCGGTACTTTCCCGCGGAATTTCCGCGGGGACGGTAGTGGGTAACGTTACCGTGGTAATTCCCGATTACCGTACCCATCCAAATCATTACCGAGCAAATGGCCTTCTCCCATTCCCATCCAAATCGTTTGCAAGGACATGAATCCCGTTGTTCTCACCCAACCAAATACCGTGCAAAATGTCGAAATCCCGTGGCTTTTGGTTACGACCCAAGCAAATCCCGGATAGATGTAGAATTCCCGGGACCGCACCGGAACGCAATGAGTTTTACCGCACCCATAGCCGAAGAGGCACTCTCTACGCTCGTTGCACTGCTGTTCACGGCGGGTTCGTTGCCACCCTGCCTTCTTTTCTCTGTTTTTGCTCTTTTTTAGAAAGTGAACATAACCAACTGGAGACTTGGCTTATTTTGAGTTTGTGTAAGCCTAACACTGAGTTATCAGTAATGCCAGTTGGAGCTAAAAACAAAAGCATCTGTATAGGCGGATACATTCTTAATTTTATGTGGAATGTGGCCTTCATAGGGAACATGGCGTAGTGTCGTTTGACAACATGCTGTTTTTAGAAAGTACTTCACTGCTATTTTAGGCGACTTGAACAATGACTACAGCAGTATGTACAGCTGTAGGACTGTTGTTGTACATGTACACGCACCACAACATATATTTTTAGTTTTTTAATTTTAACAGTTGGAGTTGTACTGTAGATTTGAGGGTGGCTGTTTCCCGCTCATTTTGAAATCTAGAGTAAACCGACCTATTACGGGACGCCTAATCCACCTCTCGCGCCAACAGCTCGTCCTCGGGCGTGAAAACGATTTGTAAGTGTTTTTAAGTATCAGGCGATAGGATATATCATAGGCTATCTCCCTGAAAAAAAATTAAAAAAATCGCAAGTGTAGATGCAATGGGGCTGGTGCAGTGGACCTCTTTGTTCACCGAAAAATGGAGGAAACCACCCCCCCCCTAATAAGGGACACTTGGCCTTTGTGGCTGATTTCGTGCGTTCTGAAGCGTTTCATGATCAGATTTCATGAAGGGTGCGCTGCATCCTGCTAAGGGTTTTCGGCATCTTGTGCTTACTTCCTTGCGTACGGATGACAGCTGCGTATGAATTATTTTATTTTCTGGTCCTTTCACTTCCAGAGACAGGTGTAAGCATTGTGTGACTGCCTCGAGGATGCTTGACCATTTTAACACAACGNAGATTTCATGAAGGGTGCGCTGCATCCTGCTAAGGGTTTTCGGCATCTTGTGCTTACTTCCTTGCGTACGGATGACAGCT